TCAGTGGTTTCGCCGCCTGCTGCACAAGAGCAAGGACCCGAGTTCGATCCCCAGTACCAAAAAAAAAAAAACAAGAGAGAAGATACGGCTATAACCATAAAATTGAAAACTAGAATGACTGCCGGGAATTTAGCTCAGTGGTTCTGCTGCCTGCCTCCCAAGCGGAAGGACCCGAGTTCGATCCTTGGTACAAAAAAAAACCAAACAAAAAAAACTAGAATGACTGAGGTAAAGAGGGAACAGGGTGAAGGACAAAGAGACAGAAGAAAGCAAGATTTCTTTTATTACATAGTAATATGTCAGATTCGAAAGCCTCTTTTTTTTTTTTTTTTTTGGTATCAGGGATCAAACTCCGGTCCTTGTGCTTTCGAAAGCCTCTTAATACAGGCATGGTGTCACACACCTGTAATCCCAGCACTTTAGGAGGCAGAGGCGGGAGGGTCAAAAGTTTGTGCCCAGCCTCAGCAACCCTGTCTCAAAATAAAAAATAAAAAAGGGCTAGGGACACAGCTCAGTGTGAAGGCCTTTGATTCAATTCCAGTGCCACAAACAAACAAAAAAGAGGCCTAGATTTGGTTTCCAAACATAGGTTGAATAATCCTTATGTGAACTTCTTGGGACCAAAAGTGTTTTGAATTTCAAGTATTTTTCCGCTTCTGGAATATTTGTGTACACATAAGATATCTTAATGATGGAACCCAAGTCTAAAATTAAATTGTTTCATTACGCTCCATAACATAAGCTGAAGGTAGTGTTAGGCAATTTCTTTTTCTGGTGGCACTGGGAATGGAATGCTAGGCAAGTATTCTCCCACTGAACAACACCCCCACCCCTACACAATTATTTCTTCTGGGTACTGGGGATCAAACTCAGGACCTTGCACTCGCAAGGCAGGTGGCGGTACCACTGAGCTAAATCCCCAGCCCCCTACACAATATTTTAAATAATTCTGTGCATGAAACAAAGTTTCTGTACCACAGCTAAAGGAGTTGGGATGGTAATTTTTCCCTTGGAAATGCTCAATAAACCATGCCACTGAGCACAAGACAGAGATGGGGTTTTGTACTTGTGGCATCATGTCAGCACTCCACAATCCACGCTGTCACAGATTCTGGAGCATTCAGGATTTCAGATATTTGATTAGGGGTCTTCATCTTGTACTATTTTGCATTAAAAGAGGCAAAGGCCCCTTAAAGAAATGGATGGCTCCACCGATGCAACAGAAAATGGACCGGGACCCAGGCATGGTGGCACACACCTGTGATGCACACCTATGGTGCACTCAGGAGCCAGAGGAAAGAGGATCACCGAGAACCCAAGGCCAGCCTGGGCTACACAGTGAGTTCAAGGCCATTCTGAACTACATAGCAAGACCCTGTCTCAAAAAACAAAAAACAAAACAAAAATGCATGATAGGTCTGGGGCAGTTCATCACACCAGAAGACAACTGAAGTACTGAACTGTGTCTAAACAATTTAGGAGCCAATGTGAACAGACCTACTGGACAAAGATGAAACACTTGCTGGGCATAGCGGTGCACACCTATAATCCCAGCATTCAGGAAGCTGAGGCAGGAGGATCACCACAAGTTTGAGGCCAGCCTGGGAACATAATGAGTTCAAGGCCAGCCTGGACTGCACAGCAAGATCCTGTCTCAAAACAACAACATCAAAAAGCATGAAAAAAACGGAGCATCACTGTGGACAATATCCACAGGGTAATACATAAAACAAGCGCAAGTGTGAGTGTACAAGGACATACAATCCACTGGCTACTTTGGAAAACTGCAAAGTGGCCAGTTCCTCATTTCAAAACCTAGTAAAAAAAAAACAAAAAACCTAGTAAACAGAGAGGAACTGAGTATTTACCCTGCCCTTTCTTGGTTGTTGCTTTTTTTTTTTTTGAAGTAGGGTCTCACTACGTAGCCCAGTCTATCCTACATTCATAGCCCAGGCTGGCTTTGATATTGAGATCCTCCTCCCTCAGCTGCCAGAGCTAGAATTACAGGCATGCACCCCACACCTGGTTTACCCTCCATTTTTCATTAGAACTATACTTACAGGTGATCAAACAGTGAGTGAAGAGAAATATGTCTTTATAAGATGGAAATAATAATAAATGAAGTTACAGAATTAAACCCTCAACAGTTTTCAGTGCTGAACGCAATGCCTTTCGGCACTAAGGGCCAGGGCTGCCAACAAGAAGACTGCTAATAATCATCTGCCTGCCTCCCGTCCAGTCTTCCAGCCAAAACTAAACCAAACCTGAGCCTGATCACAACTTTTGTTACCAGGTGAACTGTGTGTCATTAAACTACAGCAGAGTGAGGGCTCAGTGGTTTCGCCGCCTGCTGCACAAGTACGAGGACCCAAGTTCGATCCCTGTTACCAAAAAAAAAAAAACAAAAAAAAACAAACTACAGCAGAATAGAGTCCAATCTAGGTACTGTATTACTCCCGAGGGAAAGCTACCAGGTTTCATCCATAAATAAATCAGAGGACAAATGATGCAGGGGAGCCTACAGATTAAGTGGTCACAAACTACACATGGTGGCCATGCCTGTGATCCCAGCACTCCAGAGGCTGAGGTAGGAGGACAGAAAATTCAAGGCCAGCCTGGACTACAGAGTAAGACCCTGACTCAAAAATAAATAAATAAAATAAAATAAACCAACTAGTCACAATGCGTGATAGCATTTAGATCCTAACTCAAACTGTTAAAAAAAAATTATGAAAAACAAATTTAAAAATAAAAAATTATGAGACAACCAAGAAAATGTTAACACTGGCTAGATATTCGAAGTTATTAAGGAATCAATCCTTTTTCTGACAATGTTATTTGTTTTCTGTTTTAAAAAGTCATTAAGACACACATACTGAAATCTGGACCGAGTAGTACTTCGGATTGAATGCAGGGCCTTCACATTGAACTACAACCCCAGCCCTTTTTTCATTTTTCATTTGGAGACAGTTGCCCAGGGTGGGCTCAAACTTGGAATCCTCCTGCTTCATTCAGGCTCCCACAGTGCTAGGATTACAGGCCTGTGCCACCACACCCAGCTGAGATATGTACTAGTTAAAATGATATGACATCTGGCATATTGGGTACAGATGAGCTGGTAACCGTAGAAACTGGAGGAGCAAAATCAGGGGCATGCTATGCTATTCTCTCACCACATGCAGGTGAAGAGCCCAACGTGGAAGGGAGGACAATCACCTTAAACTCCAAGTTTCAATACCATAAAAATACCTTACTATCTTTGAAGCATTTCAGTACTTACATTTCTCATCCAATAATAACTACAGGGAAGAGCTAAAAACTAAAAGTCATGTAAAGAAACATTTTTTTTTTCCACCGCCTGCTGCGCAAGTGCAAGGACCGGAGTTCGATCCCCGGTACCAAAAAAAAAAAAAAGAAACATTTTTTTTCAGTAAAATCAATAAAAAAAGCTGAATGCCAAAAGCTTGGGCTAGGAATGTTACTCAGCGATTCACCACTTGCCCAGCATGTACAAGGCTATAAATTCAATCCCCAGCAATGCAAAAAAACCCCAAAAAACTTACCAGTACTGTATCAGATAACATCAAAAGTGTTAAAGCAAAAAATGATCAGCTTGGGCCAGGGATTTAGCTCAGTGGTTTCACCGCCTGCTGCACAAGCACAAGGACCCAAGTTTGATCCCTGGTACCAAAAAAAAATCAGCTTGTATAAACATGTATTTTAGAAAAGAAACTATCCCACAGCTTGGAGATTGGGTAGAATTAAGGTCAACATCACTCACAGACTCTAACTTTAAAACTCAAACCTGCATACCACAAACAGTAAACTAACAAATCATACAAGCTGTACAGCTGTCGACCACATCAAAACTCTGAAAAGCAGTTTTGCCAATCAAAACCATCCACTTCCTTTAAAAACAACTTTACTATTCTAGTTTGCCTCACCGAAATAAAGGGGTGTATTAAAATTCTGGATTTTCAAAACTGATGTAAACCAGGCATGGTGGTGCTTGCCTGTAATCCCAGCACTCTGAGAGACTGAGGCAGGAGGATTGTGAGTTTGAGACCAGCCTGGGCAATTCAGCAATTTAGTGAGACCCTCACTGTCTCAAGGGGGGGGTGGGGGGGTGAGGCTGTGGCTCAGGGTCAAGGCCCTGATTTCGACCCTCAGCACAAGGGGGTGGAGGGTGTACAGCACTGGTTTCAACCATTAACTAAACACTGCAATTTCTGCAGTCCACCCTCGGCCTGAAATGTCCTCCCCTACTGGTGCCTGCTGAACTTCTTCCTACTTGTGGGCTTCTGGCATGTTTTCATGATTTCGTTCTCCAAGACAGACTGGATCATTCATGCTTGTGTTTCCACTCACCATTAAGACCGCAATCAATTTCTAACACACGATTTCTCTAAAATAACTCACCAGCCATCAGCTATGTTTTTGGTCTTCGGGAACTATGACAATTGCTTTTTGTAGTTGTGAGCAGAAAATCAGTCAAACCAGCAGCAGTTTCAGATGAACTGAAGTATTTATTTCAAAGTGGGTATGCATCAAAAGAGCAAAAGTCAGCCACCGAATACGCTGAGATATTAATTACAAGAATAACTATTAAAATAACTCTTAAGGGAAGAGGTTCTGGAACATTTTTTAAAAGGGAAGCCCACGATGACCAACAGGCCGTCTCTAATGAAGTCCAGGACTACGCTATCACCATTCGCGTGCAACGTGGCTTTCTCTTTGGTCAGAAGAGCCGCGGCAGGACGCGGAGGAGTCTGCTCGGAAGCCCGCAGGGCCGCGCGCGGACAGTGACGGCGCCGACTCCGCGTCCGGCCGGGACAACCCGGGCGCCCGGATCCCGAAGCCCGCTCCCCGTCGCACAGCCGCGGCCTCCCCGCCCCACTCGCTGTCAGGCGCGCCCCGCCGCCTCACCCAGGCCCCGCGTCCCGCCGCCGCCCGCAGACCGGGCCGTGCGCCATGCGCCCCGACCCCGCTGCGCGCCTCACCTCCGCGGCTAACCGAGGGCGGCTCGCGACTCGGGTCCGAGTGCAGCCTCAGCCTCAGGGCTCTGGCTCGCCTCCGGCTCCGCCCCCTGCCCGCCGCGCGCACCCGGGCCTGCCACCGCGGCCCGCCCGGCCTCTCCGCCCCTTAGCCCTCGCGCTCGCCCCCGCCGCCGCCCGGGCTGGGTGCGGCCTGCGGCGGGCCGCCCAACAACTCGCCGTCTCATTGGCTTGCCTTACGCCGCCGCCGCCGTCAGCATCACGTTCTGCGATTGGCTACTCAATGAGGGCGGTGGGCGTGGTCTTGTTGGGACCGGGGGGGGGCGGTGGGCGGGGCTTGCTCCCGCTTGGCCGTGCTGGGTGGCGGGTTCTGGTCCCGCCGGATCCTCCCACTGCCGCCCCCATCCGGCTCGGGGGCGCGCTGGAGCCTGGTCGCTCGATGCTGCCTCGCTCGGTCGGCGAATGGCCTCGGCCCCGCGTGGGCGCCGCGGGCGGGCCCCGGGCGGCCTTCGGGGCGGGCGATCAGGGTGGGGTCGGATGGCGGGGCCTGCGGGCCCTGATAAGACTCCGCCGACGGCAGGGCTGCCCTCCCCGTGTCGGGCGGCCTGCTGATGCTGGTTGACAAGCCCTGTAGCAGTTCCTAGACTGGAACTGCAGGTGTCCAGCTACTGACTAAAGTCAGGGCGAAGCTTGGCATCTGCCTTCACATTCCGCGTCCCCTCGGTTACCAGAAAACTTTGGGTGCCATCCCTGCTCAGCTGTGATGGGCACGCTAACTCAGGGAGTGTCTGTTCGACGAGGTTTATTATCCCTAATTTGCCTCACCTGTGTCCCAACCCTGTTCAACCCTAAGGACGCCGAGGGCAGAGACCTTAAGCTACTCCCAGAAGTCTCCATTGCCCTAGGTCTATCGGGTCACCCTGAACTAACCCCAGTCTTCTGTTGGAACTAAATGGCCCCTCAAGCCGTAGGAGGCAGACTGGGAGACCAGGGCTCAGACAATGACCTACAAGGTCTGGTTTGTCCCAAACCCTGGGGGTATTGTAACCTCTGCTGGTTTGGCCTTGAGACACCTGGGGGTAATGTGATTGGTTCTTCTACTAATTGGGAAGTGGGGCCCAGGACTGTCCTGGTTAGTTGATGGCTTGTCCTGGTCACTGGTTTTGGAGTAGCGTTGGTTCCTTTCCTAAAAGCCTTGGAGACACATCTTTCACTGAGCAAGGGTTCTGAATTTCTCAGGCTCCTTCCTGCTTCTCCAGCTGTTGTCTGCTCTGTGCTGCTAGCAGCTGCTCTGTTTGTGTGTCCCCCTCTTCTGGACCCCTCTTGGGGTCCTCGGGGCTGTGTTCTCTGCCACACAGATCCCAAGAAAAAAACAGATCCCAAACTGGTGAAAACCTCCCAATAATCCTTTTCTTTTTCACTCAGGGTCTACAGAAGATAATTCCCAGTTTTGCTAGGGTTGGGGACCTGGTTTCTCAGCCAGGCAGCCCAGCTGATGGCTTGGCTCACACCACCCATCACCCTTAGGAGGCTGATGGCGCTCGGGGATCGGAGGTTCTCTGCCCAGCACTTTGCTCAGCTCCAACTCGACCCCCAACCCCTTCAGTTGACCGCTTTTGCTGTGCTGCTTTTCTGATTCAGTCTGTTGTTAAATCATTATCCTTTCTGGACTCACTGGGACCCCTGCAGCCTCCATAAACAATTTGCCAAACATATTTCGGAGATCTGAGGCATCCCAGTGGGTCATCTCAATTCTTTCATACAAGGAAAAAGGGAGACTTTTCCCTTCAAGATTTGGCTGCCATAGCTCTCTCTCTCTTTTTTTTTTTTTTTTTTTTTGGTACCAGGGATTGAACTCAGGACCTTGCGCTTGCGAGGCAGGCACGGTGCCATAGCTCTCTTGTTTCATCTCCTGGTAAAAGGGAGGTGGCAGGCCAGGACAAGTAAGTCTAGGGAGTTTTTGTGGTAGACTATACAAGACTCTTCCATCTAATAAAGTCCCTGCTATAATTCAGGGGCTTCAGGGAACATTCCAAAGGACTCACCACTAGGATGCCGTTTGGAAAACTGGGGCAAATTTAAGAAGAAGGGTTCAAGAAAAAGAACCTGATTTTCTTTTGTAACACAGCCTGGCCTCAGCATCAGCTGGGGAGCCAGGAGAGGTGGCCAAAAAATGGGTCCCTCCATTACATCATAATTCTACAGCTAGATTTGTTCTGCAAGAGGAAAGACAGTTGGGGCGAGATCCCTTATGTCCAGGATATATGGATATGGATTTGAAGAAAGCCCACTGGGTTTGTGTAGCCTTGTCTCACCCCAAAGAGGAACTAGACATTCTGCATCGCTCCATTTTAAACCTGCCCCTTTCAGGGAGAACCCCAAGATCAGGCCCCCGTACTTGTCCTGGGCACGGAAAGCTCTGTAGAATTCGAGGGTCTTCACTGAGCCTCAGACCCTCTCCCCATCTCCTGGTCAGCCGAGGTTAGAGGACTCCTGTCCCTCCACCTAGGTTGGCTGAGGTGCCAGACACTCAGCACTATAGGAGACACTGCTGCCAGCCCTGCTGGTACAAGGAGTGAAATTTCCTACCAACCCACCCCCCAGCTCTGCCCTCTGGGCGCAACCACCTCCCTCTGTGTCACACTTAGCCAGAAGTAAAGAGAGGTTTGGCCAGTTCTCAGGATTTCAGCTGCTTTACTGAGGAATTCAACAGGGTTCCTCTGACCTTTGACCTGACCTGTGGCCATTCAGATACTGCTGTTCCACTGCTGTGCGGTGAGGAGAGATTCTGTGGCCATGATATTTTCCGAGCTCCCAACCCAGGAAGTGATGCTGGGCAGAAGGGTCAGGGAGCGTCCCCTGAGATGGGGAGTACCGTAGTTACAAGATAACATGCATGGTAAGAGGAGATGGGAGGTCTGTTCATTATGGCAAGATCTGAGAAGCGAGCCAGGAGCCTGGAGAAATCCTGCAGAATTTCAGGGGCAATCAGTGGCGGTCATTAGAAAATAAACTAACCTAGACCCCAGCAGCCCAGAAGACAAGTCTTCCTGGCCATGCACTCTGTGGCCCTATCAGTCCCACACATACAGAGAGAGTTGCAGAAGACGACACCTGGCCCACAGACTCCATGAACCGGGTCATGGAAATACCTCTTAGTGTCTTCAATAATTGGGATAAGGTGGACGAGGAGAGAGGATCAGGAGGACAAAAGAAAGCTGTGTTCTTAGCTGCAGCCTTTGGCTCCTTGCTGGCCATGGCTGCCTAACAGTGGCCCAGGCTGCAGCTCCCAGGACGCTGCCCCTTAGGAAAAACCAACGTGCATTCTGCAGACACAGTCACCGGAGGAGGGAATGTCAACCGCAGAGCAAACTGGGGCAGCCCAAACCCACGATGGCCAAGAGAGCTGCTAGGATCTCAGCTCTGAAAGGAACAGCTATAGGCCTAGCAGGCCACCATGAAGCCACTAAGAGATCTTGCCATGGCCTTAGACCTGCCTCCAAGTACAGGGGAAACCTTAAAAAGCATCCAGGAGTCCCTAGATTCCCTGGCAAATGTCCCTGAGAGACTAGCCCTACCTTATCTCCTAGCCAGTGAAGGGGAGTATCGCAGTTATTAACAAAACCTGTTGTTCCTATGCGAATAACTCAGGAGGGGTTGAAGCTCACATAAAAAGGGTGATGAATGGACTGCCTTACTATACCCCTACTACCAGGACCCAGAGCCAAACACCATCCCAACAGAAATAATAGCTGTCTACCCAGCCTTACTTGGCTTCTACCCTTCCAGGCCCTCTTGTTGCTGTTTTGCTGATTTTTAGTTTGGGCCTGCATCTATTTTAATTTTTAAGTTTGTTTCCTCAAGGCTGCAACACTTTCAGACAAAACTAATAGTTGCCCAGGGAGGGGTATGAGGTCTCCTTGTTCAGGAGCCAGCACCGCCCACCCTGTCCCTCTTAGATCAGACCCCCAGGGGTCCCTATAACCCCCAGGGCAGGTAGGGTCTGCACCCAGGTATCAGCCTGAGCCAATTATGGAAGGTAAGAGAGCACAGCCCCTTGCCCTTTAGGGAGGATGGAATCTCTTGGGAGAACTGGGAAAATGAGGGGCCCCCTGGGAGGAAAGTGCAGGGGTACTCCTGGGCCTGACCCCAGGACCTGTGGCCCATTTAAAGCATGGCAGGTATTTGTCCCTCCCTCTCCTGCAGTGAGGGTGGCTCTCCGGGGACCTGGTGGAACCAGTCCCAAGAGTCAGCAGACCACAGCCCGGCCAGGACCGGAGACCAGCTGTGCAAGCCGACCCTTGTCCTTGTTCCCTTTCCGCTAAACCCCAAGCTTCTGTTAATACCTCAAAAATGTCTATTCTCTTCCTCTTTTTCTTTTGATGCTGCACATGGTCCCTTTATCTATTTTATTTCTCTGCTGTCTTGTTAGACAAGGTTGCTTAGAGCCAGACATGGAGGCACACACACCTGTAATCCCAGCACTCTGGGAGGCTGAAGCAGGAGGATCATGAGTTCAAGCCCAACCTGAGCAACTTAGCAAGACCCTGTCTCAAAATAAAATTTAAAAGGGGCTGGGAATGTAGCTAGTGCAAAGGCCCTGGATGCAATCCCCAGTACTGTTCTTTTTTAAAGTTGCTTAGAGATCTGTTACCCAAGCCAGCCCTAGATAAAATACAGGGAAACACTATGAGTCCAAATTCAGAAATTTTGTAAGGATTGTTTCAAATGTAAATTTAAGAAAGAAAAGAACAGTAAGAGATAGATGTAAAGAAATTTATAGATATGGAGAGTTAAAAATGGAAAATGCTTTTGGATGAGAAAGGATTTTATGTGGTAAAGATTTTTAGAATGTCTAAGCAATAAGGTTTTTTAAAAATATTGATTTGCTCTTGGTACAAATTTACAAAAACTGGCTTAGAAAAAAATTTTTTTTATCTTTTATCAAGATTTTTTTGTTGTTTTCTGCTGTAAGATTCTAATTACTTAAGAAAGTGAGGGGCCGGAGATTTGGCTCAGTGGTGCCACCACCTGCCTCCAAAGCCCAAGGACCTGAGTTCGATCCCCACCCACCCACCCACCCCCACACCAAAAAAAAAAAAAAAAAGAGAGAAACTGAGTCCTAAAGGAGTCAGGGTTTAAATGTTAGTTTAACT